ATATAAATAAATTATAGAAAACAATTTCTTTTTACCTTAATCTCCCCTCCCTCAAAGGAGAGGGAGGCCGGGGAAGGGGGTCAGGTGATCAAATCAAAAAAATCTTCTAATTATTTCTAGATGATTTAACATAGATTCCTGATTCAAAATGCGTTCCTGACTTAGAACGCGTTCTTAATAATAAGAAGGCGTTCCTGATTTTAAATGTTCTTTTAAGCTAATATTCGTTCTTCTCCATTCTGTTCCATTATTTCACGAATGAATTCTGTTCTTTTTTCAGAACGATTTTATCTTTCTTGATAGTTCCGTTTGTTCTTGTGAAAGAATGATCGTTTTTCAAGAAGGACACCCAGCCCTAAATGCAGTATCATTGTCACGCGATTCAGACGGAGACATGCGTTTTTAGATTGTTTGTTTATTTGCTGAATATGATCTGTTTAAACCGACGGTTTTTATACAAAATTTTCCATATATAAATTTTCGTATAAATTTGACACAGTTTTACATCAATTTCTCGACACAGGAACATCAGATAGAGCTCTTATGGGTCTCGATCAACTCCTAAAATGCTCAGGGTTCAGCCTATACCCCCTGTCATTTTTCCTTTACAGTCACTTTAAAGTCATCACTTGTGCCGACTTCCTATTCCAGAGTGTTCTGGTTATCCCTATAAAACATTTTTTAGAGTGAATGCATAAAAAAATCTTTTGGTTAATTTTGCGAAACAAATAGTATTATTCATTGTTAAAGTTTCTTTGAAAAAATGTCTGTATTCATTGCATGCAAACATTTTTTAGCAAAAGCATTCTAAAAATTTGGATTTATACACACGCACCTCTGATCCTTTAGTAAAAGTAAATTCAACCTAAAGTCTTACCGCGTCAACCTTGTTGCACCGGCTAGTCCTATTAAGTGTCTGCTTTATTTACCCTATGACCAGAGGGCAAAGTACAAACTAGGACCGGAAAGGTTGACCCGGTTTGGAAATTCAAATGTACTACGGCTGTCCGTGTACATGGGTTAAAAATAAGTTTTTTTTTATTATTTATTCTTTTACAGATTTTATTTTGTAAATTGTATTTATTTATGTATTGTTTCATGTCCCGTGTTAGGTATTCCCCAGGGCGACTTTCCAAGTGAACATTTCCCAAGTGGCCACTTCCCAAATGTGTACTTTCTCTAGTGGCAACTTCTCAAACCCCCAAAAGCTCCTTAGGCTGCCATGGGGACCGAGCGCTGCGGCTAGGATGGAATAGGGTGCCGAGTGCTGTTGCTATGACAGACTTGGTAAGTTGCCGCTTGGGAAATTTCAACTTTAAGAAGTTGCCACTTGGGAAAATGCCTTTGGGAAAGTATCAAACATTTTTTTTCATAGGGCATAGAAATTTTTTAAATGTTTGGGATTTAAGGGGGGATGCCAGGGGGCGGAAACGTCATGTGTGTGTGTCTGTACCAAAAGAGTGTGTGTCAGTTTAAAGTACCAAAGGTGTGTACTGTAGGTTTATACAGTACGTATGAATCTCGGTATTTGTACAGTCGAGGAGAGTACATTTGTTTATTGTTAATTATTTACTTAAAAATAAGTTTAATATGCATGTAATATATTATTTACATATTTAAGTCACCACTATAAGCCAAATTTTCATGCAAAGAATATAATTTGATTACAGTTTACAATAAACTACTCGTTATTCAAGTTTAATTATAATCGACGACATTGTTCTACAATTTTCTTGACTGTAGTCATGAGTGTGTGTCTGTAACAGAAGAGTGTGTGTTAGTTTAAAGTACTGGTCTGCAAAGCAGTGCGACTGGCTTTCTCATGCCAGACCAGCGCCATTTCCTTTCCTTTTATTCCTATTCCCTGGGGGATGCACGATTATTAATAGTTTTCTGGAATTCTGAGTATAAGGCCTATTTAAATATTTAATTTAAGTGGTTTGAAGCTTAAGAGAAATGTCGTCCTCAGAATCCTTGTCTTGAGAATTTTCTCTGAATTGTTTTGATTTGTTTTGGTATTATACTTTTTGCCCCGTTGGATATCCACTTTAAATTAGATGTTATTTATTTGATTCTCTAAAATTTACTGTTTAACCTTACATTTAAATTTTTGCTCTCTACAATTCTTTATTTTTCATTCTATTCAAGCTCATTGGTTCTCCATTTTTTCCTTTTAACGCTTTTTACACTTTTATATTTATTTTTATTGCTTAAAAAGAACCTCTTGCCACAAAATATAATTTCCAGCTATTTTGTTTTTTATCTGTTTTCTCTTAAATTATCTTTTTTTTATGTCTTTAATTGATAAGTAAATGATAACCTTGAAGTATTTGATATTCATTTAATGTTTTTTATACAATATACATATAAAGTTACAAACAAAATGTTTACAATGATTATTCATTTATCGCTAAACTTGAATCTACATGGTTATTTGGTATATCAGAATTATTTTCTTGTACAGTACTGATCTTGTACTGGCAGAACCTGCCCTGGAACTGGTCTGTACAACGGCAAACCGGTTCCCCGATCCTTGTACCGTTGTTAGAGTACACACATTCATCCTCCCCGCCATTCATGCATCTAATAAAAAAACATAAAATTTATTAATTTTTTTGCGAAACAAATACAGTGTTATCTCCGACGGCTGAGAATTCAGAGACGACTGTACGAAATTCATACTGTCTGTTTCTTCACATTCATGATTCCCCCTAGAAAGGAGATACAACTGACGAGGCCCGCCCTACCATATGATTATACATGCTTTGCAGACGGCACTTCATTTGAATAAGAAATATTTGTCTGATGTACAATTACGCGTATACAATAACCTATTCTGAATATTTATACAAATGAAGTAGTACCGTCTGCAAAGCATGTATAATCATATGGTAGGGCGGGCCGTGTCAGTTTTATCTCCCTTATATTCCATACTCCTTGGATTCCCCGCAACTGTAAAACTTTTGCCAAATAATTTATTCAGCTATTTACTTTCTCTGAGCCAAATATTTAATTTAACTTAACCTTGGTATCGTCATGTACAGGGTGTCCCAAAAAACATGGGAATTCAGTGACGAATTCGATATCGTCTTTGTTATGAATTAGCATTGTAATACCTAATTTCAAAAGCCATAATATTATCATGTCTGCTAGAGTTTATTTAATGAAAAGGGTAAAAGACTGCAAAGATGTGTCTATAATGTCTCCGAAAGATGAACAGTGAATGCGGACAAGTTTACTCAGTTAGTATACTGTAATTTTCTTGTTTTACTAAGTACAACCGGTTGCAGTCAAAACATAAACAAACAAAATGTAAACATAGCAGACGAAACTCTTACAGATTACAGCTTTCTCAGTAGGTATCACTATGCTAAATCAAAGAATTATTTAAAAAGACGATATCGAATTCGTCACTGAATTCCCATGTTTTTTGGGACACCCTGTACCTTTGAAATTTCAAGTCGTCTTTACAGTCTCATCCTTTGTCGGTAACACTGTATATTGTAACGCTATAATACAGGAGCGGAGGTAATTAAATTTTAAAACATTTTTCAGGGAGCTAAATTTAGAGGTGGGAGGCTAAAAGGCCTGAAAGAATTTTAGAGGAAAAATTGACTAATTTAAACCATTCTTTATAGTACACCCGCATACGTTCATAATTCATAAACAGTTGTTAATGATTACTGATAACAGCATAGCAGGATAGAAGGAAATGATGAAACCGTGATTTTTTTTTAGACAGAACTTGTCTAAGTTCATTATCTCATTTTATTGAATCAATTTCATATAGATCACAACCAAAGATAATATATATATAGATATGCAGGCAGGTATAAACCTCCTTCCTAAATTGCTTGTAGCAGACAACTAATTTTTGAACCTCTGAGAAAATGTGAAAAGAGAGACATCTATAGCAAATTGATTACTTTCTATATTCCTTTCTCCCCTTGCTGCTATCTGTAGGAAATACGCATTTGTGTTAAATAAACATACAGTATACGCGTATTGCATCCTGTATAGTTCAAGTGTTGCTATCTGGACCTGTTTGACCAATAAAATTAAATTTCAAGGTAACACAAACATACAGTACGCGTTTTGTTTATGTTATGATCAGATCAGTTGTACTTTGTCCCAGATTCGATGTACTTTTATAGTAATAATTTTTATTTAAATTGCGTTAATTTGCGTATGCCATTCAGTACAACTTGCACATTTAAACTTTGTCTAGTCAAATTCCTACCTCAGTTTTATTTGCATTGATTAATTTGTTTCATTAAGTACAATATGCAGTATACATTGTTGATACTATAGTACGCATTTAGTGTTATCACGCATAAACAAAGTGATAAATTAGCAACAATCCAGAGGATAAAATGCCATGCGTACGACAGAGATGGTGCTGTTTGCACATTTTCTCAAGACCTCTAAATTTATACCTGCCTGCATATCTATATATATATTATCTTTGATCACAACGTTATCATGCTTCTTAGTAAGTTTTTTTATCTCGAGAAAAAGCGAAAAAGCCAGTTTTATTAGACACACCAATAAAACTTCTAAATATTAGATTTCATTAAAGATTTGAGTACTTTTTTACCTTCTCGATAAAGTCGAAGTCTTGCGTCATTAAAAAAAGTAAAGAAATATCTAAAAACAACCTGAATTGAGAAGTTGGAGTACATCTTCCTACTCTAACCTCTGCTGTGTACTTTATAACCTCAACCTCGTCACATAGATCTCCAGTCCAACCCTACATTATTATTAATATTATTATTATTATTATTATTATTATTAGTATTATTGTTTTCATTATTATTATTATTATTATTATTATTATCATCATTTTTAAATGTATAGTTTGAAATATCTAAGGTCTACAACAATTAGTTGAGAAGATAAACAAATTAGAAAATAAGATTTTGTTGCAAAGACTCAATTCCTTTTAATTTCTATATTTACCTCTTTACATAAACAATCCCAGGGTTCAGAGCAATACCCATTTAAACATCCTGAAGTAATGAGCAGATTTAAAAAAAGATAAAGAAAAATTTAGAATTTGAGATTTAAATATAAAATTCATCACTGTATGTTGAAATATTAAAAACTCTTTACGTCAATATTTCATGCGTAATTTTATTCTAAACTAAGCAATCATAAAAAAAGCAATTATTAAGACTAGCTTAGGAACCCAGCTTTGTCTGGACTTTTAAACTGCCCCTACATAAACCGACTCATGCTTAAATAGAATTTTAAAATCAAACTATACTAAGAACGTTCCCGTGGTTATAATAAGATCACTAATCTTAATTTGAGGCAAAATGGTCGAATGGTTTATATATTCGGCAATATTCGAAAGCTTATTCTTGAGTTTATTTCTACCACCTTTTTAAACTTAGTTGTTATTCAACTCTCTTTTATTTCCTTGTATAACAATATTAAATACAACAGTTAAATATCCTATTCAGACACAGCCCGCATTTTTAACCTAAATTATAGTCCCTCCAATTTAAAAATTTGGATCTTTAAAATTCCAACCAACAATTGATTTCATACCTGGATATTTCGAACATTGTTTACAATCCCGACCTTCCCAACCTACCCTGAAATATAAAAAAATTGTTTTAAAGGGAACTGTTAACAAAATTTATATTGACTGCCCTAAACGATTTAGTTTCTCGACCCACATTATGAAAGAGACATTTTTCGGGTTTAAAAAACAAAACAAGCACAAAAATGCAAACACATCATAGTTGAACCAAAACATGAAAGGACATTTTTGCGGCGCCGGGTGCAAAATTGTACGTTTTTTTGCAACTCTCCTGTATGGTGTTTTTTTTTTTTTTTGAAAAATTTTAATTTTTTTTGGTACTTGGCCCACAAAAAAATCCGCGAACCTTTTTTTCTCTTAAAATCAAAAGTTCAGAAAAACAAAAATGTGTAAATGAATTGTTTTTATCGAAATCTAAAATTTTAAAAAGATTGAATCACAGAATCTCAGAAAATTTGCAAAATTGTAATTAGAAAATTCGCAGTTTTCAGTTCTGGACCTGGTATAATTTTTACGGAAAATTTATTTTTCAATGGTTCTTAAGATTTCAACTAAACAGCGTATATTTAATACTTAAGAATATACAAAGAAGTAATGAACTAGAGAATTTAAATAACTTTTCCTTAAAAATTAGACCATTTGGAACGCAGTATAACATACTTTTTGTAATCTAATCAATTTCTCTACTGAAGTCTACTTTATTGAATCTGTTAATGCCAATTATATTTATCAGAAGATTAAAAGTCTGAAGGTAAAAATATTATTTACTGTACGAGAAATAGTTTTTTTTCATCATAACATCTTTGCAGAGTGATTTAATAATTTGCAATATTTCCGCGACATTTCTCAAGGTAAAGGAAGAACAGTTTCATTCCTTTTTATTGCTCTTAAATAAGTTAATCTTAAACCAAACAAAAACCAAATTATAAAAATATTTCATGAGACCACCTTCTATCTTAAAAAGTAGCATCAACATTGTTAAACGTTTATCCTTCACTTTGTCATCAAAGATACATTCTTAATTCTGTGAATTAATAATATTTTTTCTAGTAAAAGACTAAATTAGATCTTTAAACCAGATTTCAATAAAAGAAAAGAAAAAAAACTAGATTACGATATCGTTTCTTTGATAAGTATCCAAATAAAATTACGTAAAATTTTCTAACTTTTCTACAAAAATGGTATTATCTTTATCAAAAGTTTGCATCCTTACTAAAATAACCTCCACTGGAATTAAAACCGTACAATTCTTTATTTTTTTTGCGTTTTTGGTGCAAGAGAAAATTCAAGCTGATTTACAGATGTGAGTCTTTATATAAAGTGGGATATGTCCGATACTTTGTCAAGTAGAAATGACGAGGTTATAGCAAGAAGTGAGACCAGATTATGAGAATTTAACACTTCTCAAGCTAGACAGTAGACATAGCCCGTTTAAAAAGGAGGGTCACGTGTAATTACAACAACATTCCGTTAAATTTGTCGAGGTTGTTAACCTGCATGTACAATCTCCAGGCTGTGTACAGTATCCGTTCTCTTCTGAACAGTCCTCGGAGCAAATTGGTTTATCACAGTGCAATCCTAAACCAATAATTCTCAGTTAAACTTTCAACTAACTTTCCTTCATTCATCAGATTTCAACTGGAATCTATAGGGCAGGATGCAAATTAATGCAGGGTGTCCCTGTCTATAGGGTAGGATGCAAATTAATTCAGGGTGTCCCTGTCTATAGGGTAGGATGCAAATTAATCCAGGGTGTCCCTGTCTATAGGGTAGGATGCAAATTAATTCAGGGTGTCCCTGTCTATAGGGTAGGATGCAAATTAATACAGGGTGTCCCTGTCTATAGGGTAGGATGCAAATTAATACAGGGTGTCCCGTGTCACATCAAACACGGAATTTCAATATTTTGACTGCCACTGGTTAATCTAAAAAAAGGATGGATCCTAAATTAAGAAAATGCTTGATCGGAGGTAGGAATAAAAGGAAACAAATAGTTTGATCTGGACACTATTCTAAAGTGGATCCAAATTTTTTTATTTTACGATAAAGCGCTTTCATAATTTTAAATTTTTCAGTTTATATTTAATTGGGACAAACAGTTCTTTTTCAATATTAGAAACTGCCCTTTTTATATCAATAATAGGAAATTCACGTTTAAAACTTAATTCTATACAAAAATATGCTTATTGGTAACCTTACGTTTATGATTTTATTTAATTATTTGATCCGAAAGAAACTAAGCATACCTGTAAAGTTTTCATTACAATTGCATTCGCCTGGCTTTGTACATGACCCATGTTTGCAACCTTCCCCTGGTGTACACTCTGTACAGTTAGCTCCTCTCCAACCCCCTCTACATGTACATGTGTCAGGAACCTGTACATAACTATTGTAGTGTACAAGATGAAACAAAATGAATGAAAGAATCACAGTGAATAAACTTAATCACAAATTCACAATTACCATATGTAAATATATGTAAATATTTATAGACTTTCAAGAGATACAACACTTGTACAGTAGCATATAAGATTCACAATAGTACCATTTAAACATTTATCTGATCAAGGGTGAATGAGATATTCAAATTTGTCTAGCCAAACGTTTTCTTAACTGAGCTTTCTCTTGAAAAATGACGCATTTACGCTTTAGAGAAAGTGAAGGTAACTGATTAAAACACAACTACTCCGAGAGGTTTAAAGGGAATAGTTAAGAATCTGACATGGAGGGTAACTTAAAAATTTGTCCACAGTCTCTTGACAAAAATAAGAATTGTTATAATATGTAAATCGAATTCTTTGAAGCATTGTGACTTGATAAAATAAACTTTTTTAGGAAAGATGACAGAAGTTTTCTTTACTCTATCTACATACAAATAATGTAGATTATGGAACCAGTGTCCGAATTTAATGAATTTAAGCCGCGTCTCAAATCACCCAAAAACCAGTTTTAATTGAGTTTCGGCTTAAATCTTGAAAAACTTGATACAATTTTAAGTGGAATCAAGCATATTTGAGCCACGGTTTAAATTTAAGCCGCCGCTCAAATTCTTTAAATTCGGCCTCGGGTAGAATATCGTTGACAGTCCCTTTAAATACAGTTTTTTTTGGTAAAGTTTACCTTACAATATGCATTTGTTGTGTTACATCCCTGGCTACAAACTGGTTTATTACAGAATATCCCTGTATAACCAGGTCTACAAACACACTCAAATCCACTAAAAACAAATAAAATAAAAAAGTAGATATATTTTTTTAACGAGCTGAAAAAATCATTTGCACAGGGATAGGATTAAATTAATTCTGATGTCCAATTTAATTGTTGGATATCAAATGATAGATTTTAACTTGAATGAGTTCTAATTCGAAACAGGCAATACACACCGTAAGCTTTGTTTAGTGAAAAACGAGAAATTATATGTTATAATTAAGTGTTTTTAATTATACTCACAGATTCTTATTCAAATTGCCCCACCAGACTTAAATTTTGCCCCCTTTTTTAGAATGCCACCAAATACTCATATTTTGTTTCTAAGTTAATTCTATTTTTTTCCCCAAATGTTTTATAAATGCACCCAACTTTAAGGTTAAAAATAACCCTTTGATTAAAAAAAGCCCCTTCATACACTTTGAAAATCCCCTTAAATAAACAAATTTGCTCCCAAAATGAATAATTAAGATTTCCCATACACAAATTTTCCCAAAATAAAAAAGGCCCCCAAAACTAAATTTGCCCAAAAACCAAGATTTAAGATTTCCCCAGACTGAAAATTGTCCCCAAACAATTAAATTTGCCCTTGAAATATAGATTTAAGATTTTTCTCGCACAAATTTGCCCCGAACTAAAAATGTACCCCCAAATTATCCTGAATTGGTAAGGTAGTATTTTTATGGTAGAGTATAATACACAATTTTCTTCCCCCCCCCTGGAAATGTTTAGGGGGGGGGGGCAAAAAAAACCTCTTTGCTCTTTGCCCCCCTTCCCTTGCTGAATGTCTAGTTGCGCCGCGCGCGCCTGAATTAAATGGCATTTAAACTTATATTATTGATTTCTTGAAAGTTACAGTTTTTGAAGGTCATGGTATGGGTTAGGTATAATGGGGAGGGGGGGGGGGGCTTTATACAATTCTTACGTAGTGCATTCCCCGTGTAAACATCCTGGCATCTTTATACATTTCTGACAGGATCCACCAGTATAACCAGTCTTACATTTACATTCACCTTAACAAGCATAATTACATTTACATTCACCTAAACAAGCATAATTAATTACATTTACATTCATCTTAACAAGCATAATTACATTTACATTCACCTTAACAAGCATAATTAATTACATTTACATTGACCTAAGCAAGCGTAACTACATTTACATTCACCTAAGCAAGCACAATTACATCCACATTGGCCTAAACGAGCATAATTACATTTACATTCACCTGAACAACCATAATTACATTTACATTTACATAAACAAGCATAATTACATTCACATTCACCTAAACGAGCATAATTACATTTACATTTACATAAACAAGCATACCAACAGTCAAAATTACATTTACATTTAACTAAAACAAGTATAAAAACAGTCAAAAATTACATTTACCTTCACCGTATATAAACAAACATACAAAGTCAAACATTACATTTACATTTTCCTAAAAGCTGCAAGCATACAATTGCACCTAACTTTTTTAGTAACATTCACCTTAAATACATCCATAAAGAATTGATAATAAGGAAAATTAGTAGGGCTTGCAGCAACCGAAACGTTTCGTTCGCATTTCGCAAAATGTTTTGTATAATTTCGCATTTTTTCGAGAAAATGAATTAAGCGAGAATATTTTTGTATTATTAAATATTTTTTCCTTTTTAAAGAATTTTCGCAAAAATATTTCATTTTTTAAAATTCCGTATTTTTTTGCTAAATTTTCACATTTTTTAGTGAAAAAAGCGATAATTTTCACATCATTCGCGAGCAAACGAAAAGTGAAAAAATGCGAAGATTTTCGCAAAAACGATTTTTCCTTTTCGCTGCAAACCCTATAATCTTAAGTCTCATCAACCCTGCAAAGAGCTAAGATGGAAAACTAAGAAAAATGCCACCAATTTGGCCAACAAAACATTCAACCGCAGTCATACACTCAACCTCAGTGACACATTTTCAGAGAAATTAAAGATAGAAATTACAAAAACACTTTATTTATTTTAAAAGGCGAGAAGACGACATTTATTCAGATGAATTCTACCTGGTTTACTACAGTAGCCTTGTGTAGCATGGCAGCCTGGGGCACAAACCGGTTTATCACAAACCTCCCCGACCCAACCCGCCCTGCACACTACCTCACCATCTGCAGTACAGTACATCCGTGGATTGTTCTGGAAATACAAGCAATTAATACACTGTAAGTTCACTTAAAGGATTAAAATTTAATGAATCAAAACACGATTTGAAATATCAAATATGTCTTATCTGATCTTGCGATTTAAAAAAAAGAGTTCTTGGGCAAATAATAGTAATAATTATGGTCAAAAATGTAATACTTTTTTTCTAATATTTTTCAAATTAAATTGACTTTGGCCTTGCCTTTTTGGGAGTTAAATTAAGCAAATGATGAAAATGTTACAGGGTGGTTTTAAATTGATCGTTTTAATTGATTTAAAAATGAAGACCTGCATAATCTTATCACGACAAAGTTTCGCAAAAGAACATGTTTCTCCTGAAAAAGGTAAAATAAACAATATAAAGAAAACGGTGTTTGTGTATTGTGAACTATATCAATCATTTTGTTTATATTTTTATCGTTAAAGTATTGACATTGACCAAGAATTTTGCATTTTACACATCTAATCTGAATATATTTTGGTATTAAAAACATTTACCTGTAAAATTGTGAGCACACACCAATTTTACACCATAATCAATTCTAAAAACAAACTCCATCATGATTATCAATTCAAGAATTTAAAGATTATATTTTAATTATAGAAATAAGAAGAATAACAATAACACTAATAATAATAATCATTTATAATAACAATACAAATTATACAATAATAATAATAATAATAATAATAATAATAATAATAATAATAATAATAATAATAATAATAATAATAATAATAATAATAATAATAATAATAATAATATTAATAATAATAATAATAATAATGATAATAATAAGGATTTAAATTATAATCATAATAATAAGGATTATAATCATAATAACTATATTACCTAGCATGATAAGTACTAAAATCATTGATATTCCAATCTTCTCCTGCATACAGCAGATGATTACGTTCAAGCCTCAATATCAATTTTCCTGAAAAATTTGAAAAACTTAATTTTAGCAAATGTGATTTATATATTTTTACCTCTATCATACAATGATTCATCATCATCATAATCTTTATCTCGATTTTCTTGATCTTTTTGTTCATCAATTGTTTCTTCTTTTTCATCTTCTAGGATTTCAGAAGTCTCTTCGATCTCAGCTTCGGCAGAGGTAGTTTCAGGAGAAGTTTCAGTGGTGGATAAATCAATCTCATGATCAGTGGAATCTTCACTTAATCTTCTTGTTGTATTATCTCCTTGATCAGCCGAACTTGTTGAATTATTTTCATTTATATTTTCCATTGTAGTTTCATCAATAACAGGTTGAGTAGTAGTATCCTCCTTCTCTTCTGCTTTAGCTGCTGCTTCAGCAATCTTCTCCTCGGCCAGCTTCTTGATGTTGGAAGTTATTGATGTTGCCAAAGTGGAGAAAATCTTTTCCAAAAAAGATTGTTCTTTTTCTGTTTTCGCTTCCTCAAAATTGTTTTATTAAAATATAGATAAATAGAAAATTACTCATGCAATCGTATCTAAATTTTTATTTTTTATTTTAAAATGAGTGTTCATGGTTTTAACCTTAATTGGTTGTGGAATTCGTTTAGGTTTGTTGATATGCCAGGCTTCTATAGACAGAGAGAAAACACCGTTCCAGGATTCTTGGAACGGGATTTTAACCAACAAATCTCCGGAACCTAAGAATTGTATTTATAATATGTTCAAAACATAATTCAAAATACAAAAACTAATTTAAAAACTCAATTGTAAGGTGTTAAATGATTTGTGATACGTCCATCAAATTGTTGAATAAAACCTCGATGTTCTAACCTTGCAATGAACTGTTGAATATAACCTCGGTTGTTAAGGAACCGTATGCACACTCTAGGCTAGGTGTGAACAATGATCTATCCTGGAAATAATATTTCAATTTTTAAATCTTCATAGTTTAAGGAACAATACATAAAATTTCAAATTATATATAGCATGGTATTCTACCCTTAACATCTTTGTCTAATCAAAGATGAATGAAATTTTCAAGTTTTTCCATTCCTTCTACTTTTTTACAAGAGGATAATAGATCATGATAGTTATTCTCTATTCTTAACCTTGATAATTATAGAATACCTCTCATTATTATATTATTAATTATTATTATTATTATTATTTTATTATTAATTATTATTATCATTATTATATTATTACTTATTATTATCATTATTTTATTATTATTTATTATTATTTAGTATTATTTCTTCCCTGTCGCCAAACAACTGAGTATTCCATATTCCCTTCTCCTGGGCGTTCCATTCTTCCTTCAGGCTCATGCTGAGGTCGAACCGGCCTCCCCTGAGGTCGTGGCCAAGGTCTAGCTGGTCTACCCAGCCTCTCCTCAGGTCCAGGGAGAGGCCTAGGGGGATAGGACAGAGGTCGAGGCCGAGGTCGGTCTCCTCTAAGACCAGGAGGGTTTTGAGGTCGGGGCGGATGTCTGTAAGGAGGTCGAGGTGAGGCGGAGATTTTAGGATTTGGCGGATATCTAGAGGATATACGGGGTGGGAGGGTCGCTCGTCCAGTGTACTCTGAAAACAATATCTCTATTGAAGCAAGGGTGGGGGTGGGGGCAGTCCTTTATCTCTTAAATTAAATATGGTTTACGGGTGGGGGGGGGGGCACAACTTGTTAAACATTCATCCACCAACTGCTTAAATATGATATTTTTCCGAAGTAAAAACGTATTTTACGATTAAAAATGTACAGGTCTCAAATATTTATCTATTACTCATTATTATTATTATTATGAAGGATTTTTTATTAATGTTACCAGTAATATGAGGTCAACCAAAGATTTATATTATTTACAGTGAGTGAGAGCAATGTTGACGAGGACGACTTGAAAACTTAAATCATATGATCATGAAACACATCAATTCAGTTTAAAAAAACAGGCCCAGTTTACTTTATAAATTGATTTTCAAGCTACATATAAAACTACTTGTTTTATATCAACATTAAATCTACATAAGATTGCATATTCCTGCAGTTTAATGGGTCTAACTGTGTTAAAATATGTAAACCTAGAAAGTTAAACCTGTCAAGATTTTCTCAATATTTTGTGGAAAGGTTTGAGGTTGGATCCGTCCTGCTCCAGGTATTGCCTGGATCCGTTCTACTCCGGGTGCGGGTTGGACCAGTCCTACTCCTGGTTTTGATCGTATTTGGTCTGCTCCATACAATTCCTGAGCTTCTGCTTATCATTAAGAAATATATAAAAATTATAAAGGAAATAGATAGTAATTAGTAACTGCAAGTTTTAATAATAACTCCTTGAAGTATAAAGAAGGAAAATTTTTGGTTTTAATTAAATTTAGGATTTCAAAAATGTGCTTTTTAAACTAAAAATGAAACAATAACAAAATAACTGATTACAAATCTTACTCAAAGGAATTGCCATAAACTCTGATGTTCTTATCCCTACATCTTTGCAGCCCGATGTTGTAAACCTTAGATATTCCAAACTATAAATTATATAAGATCAAATAATCAGTTTGCAAGGAGAAACAAATTTGAAAGTTTAACTTTGTGGCAAAGACTCAATTCCTTGTTGTTGTAGACCTTTAACATAAATCAGCTATACATAAAATAGTCAGAGTTTGAAGTATCAACGGTTTACATAAACTGGTAACAATGATAAAGGGATTAGAAAGGTCGAGTTCGAGGCTCACTGCGATTTAATGGTCTCACGCTCTTAAGCTTGAATTGTTGAGAATTTTGTCAGTTACTTCTAAAAAACCAAAGCTAACAACAAGTGCTTTATAGTGCTAAAATTTACATGTAAAGTGCTACAGAAAAGCATTAGTGAGTTAGAGCGGTAAAATCTAAGCTTAGGGCGTTGCGACACTTCAAAGTCAACCCTGTCTTAAAAATTGATGAGACTGTTTATAAGCAGGCTGAATCTATGTGGGCTAGCTAGTCCCTATTCAGCCTGACACGTCTGGTTTTCTAACTGGTTTCCTGGAGGGGGGGGGGGGTCAAATTACCCCTCCCCTCTCTATTTTCTTATTGTGATATAAATCTATAACATTTGATACGTTTTTGGAAAGCCCCTTGGGCTCTACCTCAATGATCTGCAAAAAAATGGCAAATTTCCAAAAATCCAAATATTTATTGCGAAATCTAGTTAGTAAGCAACAAAGAATTGCGCAAATTGCAACAAATTATACATGTTTGAAAAGCCCTTGACTTAGCGAATTAAAATATGCAAAAACATTTGCAAATTTTTTAAACCTAAATTTCTATTCAAGAAAAACTGAAAATGTGAAAATTTCCTTTAAAGGCGCCTGTGCAAAGAGCTATAAAATGTTGAAAAACAATGACTGGAAGTAGGTCTAAATAATATAGATTTAGTCTGGTGTAGGTAAAATAAGGCATTTAGGCATTATGACTGAGGACTAAGGCAGTAGATATAAAAGCCCAGATTTTAGCTTTAACCCTATAAAGGCTGGGGAGTCTGAATCTATGTATAGACGGGGGGGGGGGAATCCCATGTCCCCCCCTCCTTGAAAAAGGATTTAGAGAATAGGTATAGGTTTGAAATGCATGTTTATGGCCCAATTTTTCAAGGCCAGCTCATTGAAAAAAAAATTAAATCGATAAATTGTATAATTTGGGTTATAGAGAGGGTTGAAAAAAATGCCAAAAAAGGTTAAACAAATGTAAACACTTTTTTTGTTAAAACAAATATCAAAGTTTGACACATGTTTCTTACTCCAGTTTTTAAGGCTTTTCAAAAATATAGTTTTAAGATCTGAACCCTATCCTATGCATAAAAAAATTTACAAAAAATACTGAAAATTTTTATTTATTAAAAGTAAAAATTTTTTCCGGTGATAGTGTCAAAAACGAGAGTGCTAAGACAAAAAAACTAGAGGGGGACTTCCTAGCTCAAATACTTTTTGAGTTATCGCAAAAAAACGATAAGGGGGTGGGTTAAATTCCCCCCCCAGGCCAAATATAGTTAAAGGGACTGTAAAGGAAAAAATTAAAAGGGGTATAGGCTGAAACCTAAGAACTTCAGGAGTTGATCGAGAACTATAAGAGTTAACTGATGTTCTTGTTTTGAGAAATTGAAAAATAAAAATTTTTACCAAAACTTATGTTTATGCACTGTCATTTTTCTTTTACAGTCCTTTTAATGATCAGTTCTGTTACAAATGGCTATTTTCTAATATACTGTATACCTGTCGGATCTGAACCTCTTTGTGGAGATCTATTAGGTAGGACCACTAAACTCTCATTGTCTACCCTATACAGCAATACATAGTTTTGAACTCAGGGAGTTAACAACAGTCAGAGAGGTGACATTCAAAAGTTAAATGCAAAAAAGAGTTGAATATATACAAATGCATACATTGATAGTTAGGTAAAGCAATTCGATTGACAAGAATTCAGACATTGAGAATCAATTTGATTATAAAGACAAATAATAGCTGAATTGATAAATAAATCAGATTTTATAAAACAAGACAAGCACAAGACAAGATTTTTTAAAAAGTTATGAAATAATGCATCCTTAAAGGGAGTGTTCCGGTAAAATGAAAGGGGGTAAAGACTTACGACGAAAAAATATCGTTGGTGATCGCTACTAATCTTACTCATATCTGTTGCGTCTATCAGGAGAAAATTGTTATAAAAGATTCATACTAAAGAACGTAGCGTCCATACTAATTCAGAAAACTGCAATATTCTACTCGCATCGTAAAAATATCAATATAATTCCAAACACAAATCATTCAGATATCACAACCCATAATCATCGATAATTTTATATTTATATACCTGGAGGCACAGACCCTAAACATGGTATAGCAGGGGGCGGAGCAGGTTCCTCCTCCTCCCCGCCCACTTCTAAACCCATCACTGAATCCATCATCAGCCCAGGGATGGACATCATCATGTTCAATCCACTGATGAACATCATCATCTACAGCTCTCCCATCTCGACCACTTTCTCTAATAGATCCATTTTTTAGAAAATTAATCAGTCAAAAAAGCTTAACTTTTATTAAAAATCAAAATCTAAACCGAAATATCCGTACTTAAACTAAATTAAATTATAACCCAAAACAAAAACAAGAAAATAATATTTACTGCAAACAAAATCTGTTAAACAGAGGAAATCCATTTTTTTATTAACATTCACTATTCTTTTAAAGTGAAGTCGCTTTAGAAAGAAAAAAAACTGTAAATAATAATAAAAATTATTGATGATCAAATTTTTAGATAAATTTTTAGATTTTATTTAGCAAACTTAATGTTTTCCCGTAAATCCTGTTTCTTAACTTTCTAGAAATATTTAGAAATTCATTTGAATAACATGATTTTACAATCAAGATTGATAACATAAAAAATCTTTTTTTGGAAAGATACCTTAAATTGTTAACCCTATTCCTGCTGGGGGGGGGGGGTCAATTTGACCCCCCCCTGTAGTAATTTTTACATAACTCAAAAAGTATTGGTCTGAGGCTGATGAAATTTTCTGACTTTTCTTACATACCCAAAGCCCTCTCTTTAGGCCTAAAACCGGACTTTAATACTAACTGCCTGAGTTCTCAGGCACACTGCCTGAATGACTGCTTTTGACTGTAACAAACTAAATCTTTGTTTTGACCCACTTTCACTTGTCAGATTTTGATAAAATTTAGCTTTTTGGAAAGCCTATGACATAAGGAAACGGATTGCACAAGTTTTGCGAAAAAAATTGCAAATTTTTTGCAAACAACCTGTCAAAGGAAATTTACACATTTTTCGTTTTTCTTGATTAAAAATCAGGTTATTTAAAATTTTGCAAAAATTTTTGCATATTTGAAATGGCATGGTCAAGGGCTTTTCAAAAATGGACAAATTTTTTTGCAAACATTTTTACTAGATAACTGAATTTTGCGATAAAAAATTCAATTTTTGCAAATTTGCAAATTTTTTTTGCAGATTCTAAAAGTAGAGCACAAGAGCTTTCTAATGATGTATCATTTGTCATATTTGGACATAAAACATGGGATTTAGAGGGGGGGGGTCAACCTCCCCAGCATATCCTGGTTTTCAAGTACCCCAGCAGGGATAGGGTTAAAAGACTGAAAGATAAAAAAAATCACTAATTTATATGAAAAAAGTAGTATCTACCATTATTTAATTGTTAAAATTTAAAAGTTTGAATCTTAGATACGAAACTTGTTCTCAAATTTTGAATTATTTAGATAAAAAAAAATTCTCAGAAAGTAAATTTTAAACTTGCTTCTTAAAAAAAAAAAATGGCGTTCGAATTGAAAAATTATAGTAAAGGAACTGAGTTTGTGGCGAAAACTCAGTTTCTTTTTTAAAATCTAGATTTTGATTCCAAAATGAAGGTTTAAGATCTGAAAATTGAGAACAGAATGACAAAATGACAAAATGACAAAATGACAAAATGACAAAATGAAAAAATGAAAAATGACAAAATGACAGAATGACAAAATGACAAAATGACAAAATGACAAAATGAAAAAATGACAAAATGACAAAAAAACAAAAATGAAAAAATGAAAAAATGACAGATTAAAATTCCAAAACGAATTATTAAAAATTTAAAATGCATGGAACACAAAAATTCAATCTTGGAGAACTGAAATTTTTTAAATTAAGGATTAAAATTTCAAATTTGAAGATTTAGATTTTAAAATGGAGGTCAACCTTTGACAGCACGAACCAGCTGCGTCTCTGCCCTCAGGGTTAAGAAAGGAGGATATTTTGACGAGAATAACACCTGAACTGTGTCCATCCAGCCCCTCACACAGTATACACAGGACATACAGGGTTAACAGCATCTTCTATTTTATTCGCAGTGAGTTAATACATTCATTTTCTTGTCTGCCTGTTAGTTTGTATCAAATAAACGAAAAAAACTGAACCGATCAGACCCAATTGTTTGTGGGACCTCACAAGACCCCAGGGAAGATTTCTGGATGCTTAAAATTACAAAAAGTTGTCATCAGATTTTCATAAGATTTAGAAAGTCCACGAAAAAAGTCGAAATCCGCAAAACATTTTATTATTGTTTTATCAAAGAGAAAGTGATGATATGTTGAGCAACAATTAAAATATCAAATAGAATTTGATAACCTAGTAGATACTTACAAATAATTTATTTTTTAAAAATTAAATACTTTTTTTTTGTAAAACGCATCGAATTGTTTTTGTAAGGCCCTCCATCATTGTTTTTTTTCTGCTTGCATATCCACAAGTCGTTTTGAAGGAGAAACTGAATCTGAAGATTGTCTTTTTTTTAAATCAAAAGATAATTTTTTTTTTCTTTGTTTCCTTTATTTGTTTGAAAGGGTACAGTTGTAAAATGGCAGACCTAGTATGAAATTACGACCGCATTACCTTTAGTTATATTTTTCAATCATAAAACTCATCAACATGATTTATAACTGCAGATTCTCAAATGATCTCTAGTGTATATTTTTTAAGCAAATGAAGCTTTAAGCAATAAGCCTTATTTCAGATTTTATAAATAGGTACAACTCACTGCAAATTCACTGTTTTAAACAAAAACTCATTTTTCTATTGGTTTCCTCACAATATAATGCCTGAAAATAAGGAGGGTTATATAAGACGCTATAGGAGAGAAATTTTCAAAATTTCACTTGTACTTAATTCACATACTCAGGAATTCACCTGCTTCATGTCTACGCGTACACTGACGCATTAATTTCACGGATTTGTGGTCTGCTACGCTCACCAAGACAGACAAATGTCCTGTACACAGTGGGCCAGGATACAGGAAATGTCCCCCCTGGAATTAAGATGTATTTCACTTGACTCCGCTCCAGGCGCACTGTGCGCGTGTTTTATTTAAATAAACCGGTGCGCTCATGGGCCATGGTCATCAGTTTCACTTTCAATTCTAAAAGAAACATTATACAGGAAATATACAGATGATACAGATTATGCAGATTAAGCTATATCAAGATTTTTTCTTCACAAATTATTGTTTAAGAAACCCAACTATTGTGTTATTAATGGGCCAAATAAATATATTTTGATTTTATATACCATTCACAAAATTAAGCAAAAGAAATATAATATCAAAAAAATATGATGATGAAATGCTAAAAAAATCCCTTCAACTGCAGATGAATCAGATTGTGTGTTTGTAAAGAAAGGTTTGTATACAATTCTCCTCAAAATGTAAGCAGCAGGAAGGGTGTGTGAGCACCCTGTTTAATTGCTTCGGCCATCATCTATTTTATTTTATCCCCTAGTGGTCGTACCATGGAGTATAGAATATAATGGAGATTGAATCGACACGGCCCGCCCTATCATATAATTTTACATGCTCTGCAGATGGCACTTCGATCATTTAAATAAGAAATATTTTTCTGGTGTACAAATTCAGTGTACTTATTCCCAGAATAGTTTATTGTATACATTAAACAGGGAAAAAAATAGGCGGAATATTCCATGCTCCAGCTGGGTCATACCTGCATGCATAACTTTAATATAGGGAACAACCATTTATCCTTTATAGGATATCACATTCATGAAATTCCGCATTTCATTTTTTTAAGTACCGGGCCAACTTTGAACCTTGTTAAGCAAGCTGTACAGTACACATACAGACAATATACGGCAAAACTGTACGTTGCCAAAATGAACTTAATCTCCTTCTAGTAAAATTTATGTTCATTGGATGTGAAGATGAAGCATTTAAGAAAATTATACTCCACACAATAGTTTAGATCTACTTCACCCAACTCTAAAAGTTGCATAATCTGTATATGCATTTACTCGTACTGTCTAGTCTGGACTACCAAGTGTAAAGTTAACCCAGTACGTTTTATGCAACAAATGTAGCCTGGCAAGATCACAGTGACTTACAATTACCAAAGGATGAATAGCGATAAAAATAAGAAAACTATGATTGTAATATTCCTTGTCCCTTCTTAATGATCTATGATTCTATATTTACATAACATATAAAACAACTAACAAGGACAATAACGTTAAACCCACAGAAATGCTGAATTTAATCTATTTATCTATTTTCTTTGATTAAACCTTAAATAAACCGGACAAATCTGTTTTCAGTTTATTAGATAAAAACTCTTCTAAAAACCCATAAAAACCACAACATTTTAAAGTGACAACCCACCTAATTTGTTAATTGCCTAAATTGATTTGAAAGAACTAGATTTCAAAGCACTGCAAGCGTTTTTTATGCTACAAATGCTAGATTTAATTTTTGCTCTTTATATATTTAGTATGCCTTTAATAGTTTTTGTCGGGTTATACATACATAAAAGCTTAAAAAGGTGAATATGCTCTGTTTTTTAAATCTAAAATGATACTATCATGCAACATTAAAGATCATGCAACATTAAAGATCATGCAACATTAAAGATCATGCAACATTACAGATCATGCAACATTAAAAATCATGCAACATTACAGATCATGCAACATTAAAAATCATGCAACATTAAAGATCATGCAACTTTAAAAATCATGCAACATTAAAAATCATGCAACATTAAAGATCATGCAACATTAAAGATCATGCAACATTAAAGATCATGCATCATGCAAAAGTTTCTTTCTACATATGTGTATTTTCTACCTGTTGATTTATTTCTTTTAACCTTTTCTGTTTACCATTTTATTATATTAGCTGAAATTGTGCATTCTTTAAACCTTACTGTAAGCTTTTGTCCAATTTCACAAGAGTTTTGTTGTCTAAAATGTACGAATACGTCATTGAATTTACAAAACAGCTTCTCATCTATACAATACAAGAGAATCCACTCTTATGTCATTTTAACACAACTTGATTTTAGTTTTCTTTACTTAAGTCCTGGGAAACTGATTTTAAGTCCAGTTTCTGTAGCATAAACTCCGTATTGGAGTATAGTTAAAGTTGAGTGTAACAGAAGAAGATAAATTTGATCCTCAACTCATGATTTATTACCCCTAGTCCACCAGTACACTTCAAACCTTTGATATCAGATAATTAGTCAATAATTATTGGAAAATATACACTCTTCAGATCTATTAAACTACATTTAACCCTCGGAAACCAGCAAGGGCTACCAAGTGTGCAGTCTTAGAAATATCCTTGGATAGTGTTTCAGCAAAATGCTCATTAGATGCATTGTTCTTCTTTTCATCTGGTTTGCAAGTGCCCAGGACTTGGAACAAGAATTTGCTGAAAAAGGTAACAGATTCCAGGGTGGTTGGGGTTCAACTAGAATAGATAATGGATAGCAAAGGTCATGTTAAGAGTTAGCTAAAAGGTTTTATAGGTTAATAGGAAAGCTTCATGTCTACTCGTTCATTTTAAAATATTTTGCAAAAGGCTGAAATTATAAATGTTAAAATAAGTAGGTAGCAGTAGATAAATAGGATACCATGATATAAAGATGATGATTTTTATTCCAAGTTATATTCCATTCAATTTTAAACTGTATTGAATTTGTTAAAACCACCGCACTGATTACATGTTTACGCTTGCACTTGCAGCATTGAAAAGGCTTCAGTTGCAAAGGGGTACAAGAAAAAATAAATCTTGATTGATTGATTGTCAGTATTATCTACAGATATTGCTAGATAATAATTTCCATCATTACTTGCAAGATAAATCCCAACTGGAGTTGGATGGAAGATTGAAAGGTAGGGACAGGCAACTTGGTCCAAATTTGCAGGTAGAGCAAAATATTTATTTGTTAAATAATCCTAAAAGTTATGTAAACTTACAAAGTTTATTTTAGTCCGTTAGGGATTTTGCAGAACAATTGCAAACTTTGAAAGGTACAAGATTACAAATGCTTAATTGTAAATCAGTGACCTGTAATCATTCTAAATGATCTAACTCTTGTTTTTTGTTAGATAGAGATGCCCTCAGACAGCATTGGATTAAATTCCGGGTTGAAAGATCAGCGGAAGTCCCACCTATTTGATCGATTCCAAATTCAGTTCATTGACAGCTTTTCCAATCCTAATAAAGAAGACAATATTTCAGATCAAGAGAACGCTGCAATAGGCAAATCTTGGTCTGAGTTGCAGAAACTTCTCTCAGAACGTCTGAACAAAAATGAAGAAAAAGGCATACCTGAAAATAGTTTGGAGATCCCTGCTGCTAACTTGGAAGAAAGTGATTATCTGAATATGCCAAAGCGCAATAATCAAGATTTACAAAATCTAAACTTAGAACCAGAAATTGATCCAGTTGCTTCCATTCTTGAGGGTATGGAACAACCCACTAATCCACCAGCCTTGGACATCAATATATCAGGGGAAATTATTTCCGGAAATAATTCAAGGCATAACGAAAAGCAAGAGGAGGAGGAAAATAAGGAGAAGTCTAAAATAAAAGAATACATAAAGGAGATTCAATACCATGTTATCCCTGAAAATAAACCAAAGTTGGATAACATTTTTAAAGAAGAAAAACGTTATGTATATCATCCAAAATATTCTCATTTGGAAAATGGGGATAGAGATTATGTGGAATCTCTCCATCCATCTCAGATTCCAACAGATAAAGAAGGCATGCAACATCAAGAACACCACACCAAATACCCTGATAACCAGGCACAAGAACTGAATGATAGCAATGAAAACAATTACCATATTGGTAAACAGAAAGAAAAACTGGTGGACGATATTAGAAATAGATTAGAGGAAGACAGCCATGAGAATTTGCAACATCAAGACCATAATACCAACTACTTTGATAATCAGGCACAAGTACCCAATGGTAGCCATGAAAACAATTTCCATGTTGGTGAACAAAAAGAAAAAATGAAGGACAATATCAGGAATAGATTAAAAGAAGACAGCCATGAGAATTTAAAGGTACCAGAATATCATCATCATTCAAATAAGTTTTCAAATAACAATAAAGCAAGCTCTGAATGGAAAGAGCGTGGCCATAATTCAAATGAGAATACTATTGAGCATCCTAAAGTTGTTGAGCATCTTGAAGACAGAAAAGACATGAATGATTACAGGGTTTCTACTCCTCCTGTTATATCTCATTCAGAACTCTCCACACAAGTAACAGAATTTGAGATCAATATTTCAGATGAAATGCTGCCACAAAACAATCTAGAACACCTTAAAGCTCCAGTAACAAGTCAGCCACTAAAAGAAAAGGAAAAAATGGAAGAATACATCAAAGAGATTCAGTATATTATTCCTGAAAGTAAATCAAACCGAGACAATAATGCCAAGGAGGAAAAACGATTTGTTTATCATCCAAAATATCCAGAAGATGAAAGAAGTTATGAAAGAACACTGCCTATCGCCTATCAAGAAGCAGATAAAAAAGACATGAATCTTACAGATGCTTCTGAAAATGGAAATGATGAAGACACAGATTCCAGTCCAAATAATGTGTCTCCACAATCAATAATACCAAAAGATGTTGCTGATATGCTTCATAATGAGGACAAGCTTAAGAATCGTACATCAAATAAAAAACCAAAAGAATTTCACCTTGATAGTGCAAATAAAGAAATTTTGGAAGATTATAAAACAAATACTAAAGAAAGAATTCAAGAAGAAATAGAAAAATCCGAATTAATTGATAATCAGAGCACTAGTCTCATGAAGCCCATCAAAATTGAAAATGAGGCCAAGAGAGATGATATAAAACAAGATAACCAAACAAATCTTTTACTCCTCTCAAAACATACAGTAAACAAATCTGTAAATGATGATATTAAACTTATAAAATCTATCAAAGATCAAACTAATGGTTTAAAATTAGAAGGACCAGATTATTCTATTAATGATGACAATGAAAAGATTTTTGAGACCAAGAGCAAAAATACAAAGAATACAGAAAGCATTGAGGAAATTTTTAGCAATGAAAAAGATGACAGTGATGACAGTAGTGATAGTGACGAGAAAGATCTAAAAGATAGTACCAAAGATGAAAGCGATGAAAGTAATGAAACTGAAAGTGAAGTTGAAGAGGAAGATGACAAGGTTCCTGTCACTGAATCTGTCCAAACCACAACAAGGAAGCAGAGAGAAAGTGTAGAAATTGATGATAAAAATCACTCCACAACTTACACGGAAATCGTCCAGGGCCATGACTATTCTGTAGGCTCTGAGGAATCGGAAACTGAAGTACTTAATGTAGACAAACTTAATGTTTTAGGTCTGCAGACTCCTAGTCCAAAAGAAATCAGATACCATCTACTACAAAACCATGAAGAGGGGGATAGTAATGAAGTGCAGGATATGTATCAAACCATGCATAGTTCTAATCATGGAGATGATAACTCAACTAGCTATTCCAAAAAATTAACGGTAATACTAGCTTTTCATTGACAAACTAAATGATTTTTGAAATGAAAATTTACTAGATGTATGATGAACTGTACGCAAACTCTTCCCACTTGGCTTGCATTGACAGGCATGCATGCTTAAACTGCATTAAAAACCATTAACTAATACTTAATTTTTAATATTTAATTGACCACAAATGAATGGCATGAAAAACTTAGAACAGTGGAAGATGTGATGCCGTCGCCAGATGACGATTCTTTCTCAAGGAAATTCTACTTTTAAACAAGTTTTAGACCAAACTATTTATAAATTAGTGTCAAACTTAAAGGGTTTCTTTGTCACGTTTGATCATTTAAAAGAGAAGTTTTAGCTTTCTTTCTTCTTGTCTTAGTTCTTTTCATTTCTTTTAGGTAGATCAAAATCAATGTTGTAAATTTTTCTTGAATTTTTTAACATCTCACTATTATTTTAAGAAAATAACTGTGAGAAAATTTACTACAAATTAATTTTTTCTTTGTCAAATTTTCATATCAGTTCAAATTTACAAAATGAATTCATAAATTTCTTTTTTTTTAATTTGATTTTTCAATCAACTTGCAGACATTTGTTATTAAGAGTAAATTTTTAGCGAACATGGTTTAAATTCAGCCAACTTTGGTTACCTTCTGGAGTACATTGCAGGAAATAATGATAAAGGTAATTTCATCTAATTAGTAATTAATCATATTTAAGGAGATTCTTTTAGGTAAGAATTCGTGATCTCCCCCTTTTCATTGTTGTAGAACAACTATTTTTTTTTGTTTTTTAATATATTCATTTTAAATCAAATTATTCTTCATAAATTGTTTTTTTTGTTCAGGGAGAAATTCTCTTTCAGTGTAAAAATGTAAAATTGTGTTTTAAAAGCAAACTTTCAGAAAATAAATTTTCGGAATATGGTTGATTTCGTTAAGAATCAGAATATGGTTGACTTTGATAAGAAATAAAATCAAACTTACGGCCTAGGGGGAATAAAATTTTATACTTCGTAGATTTTTTGGAGCTAGCTGAGCAAAACGCTTTAAATGTTTAAATGTATTTTATCTTTATTTTATCTGTTTTGTACGTATCTGTATTTTATCTGTATTGTATGGATATGTATCTATATTTGTTAGGTGAGAAGAAAACCCTGGCTTATCCTGTTCTTATTCAGGAAAATCTTTATCAGAACTTGTGGAAATCATGTCATGTCATGTGTTTTCAGCTTTTACCTTTTTTATTAACATTAACGACCTTTGATTCTGCCAAGGGAGGTACAATTAAGTAAAATAACGACCCGCTCTGCGAAGTTTTCGTGAACAAATTCGGGCACATCTCAAAAAACTACAAAATTATATACAACTACTTTTCGGGAAATTAAAATTTTACTTAACCACGGGTTCTTGGGAACCCTTGGTAAAGTAAAATTCCCTCAACTTCCCTGTAAAGTAGTTGGAAGTAATTATTACACATCGAGTCGAACAGAATTTTATCATCTAACTTGCTCGGAAACCTAAAAAGGTTAACCCACTCTACTTAGAATATCTAAACCATGGGCTAGGCACATTCCCACAATACATATATGCTAGGTTAAGTAATCTTTGTAAGACCGATCTGAACTCAGAAACCCCTTGACTGATTTGCCTCAGTTTTTTATTGGAAGACTCGGTAGAACCACAGGATAGTTCTTAGGTGGTGTTAAAGTTATAACTTGCTTAGTTGTTTTTTTAAGAAAAGCCGGGTTTCCAAAAAGAAACAGTACTAATAAAAAAGTACATATTGCACCTCTAAATGACTATACTTATTATGCTTAAAATAAACGTTGAGATCAAGGCTGCACCTATCCCCCGCCCCCCCCCCCTCCTCCTATCGTATTGATTTTGTTTAGTTTAGTTTAGTTAGTCAGAAATTATGGGATTACATGAGAAATGATATCTTGAAAAGCATATCCCCTGCATCTGCATGAAAGCATTAAAAAGGGTACAATTATCTGTGTACACTGTACAGCCATTGCCTAGGATTACTCTTATTATACCTGAAGAAGGAAAGTCGATTTTGATCAGAAAAAGAAAACTTGTATTGGCAAGTTAAAACCTTCGTCAGCGTACATAAAAAGAAAATGAAAACTCTAGCGATCCTCTATTGTACAACATGTACAGTGTACAGTGTACGGTATCTGATGTAGATGTACCAGGTTACTCCGCACATAAACGAGACGGTCACAAGATCAATCTGCCTGATTATTTCACAATTTAATGACAGGGTGAGTTTATAAATACTTTTATTTTTAATTATTTTGGAATTTTTTGAAGAAGAATCTCTACTTTGAGTTAAATTAAAAAGAAAGCTAAAGAAATTTAGTCGTTGCCACGAACTCAAATTATTTAATCCCTATATCTTTGCAACCTGATGCGCAACCTTATGGTAGCAGAATTAATATTCGGAAATATAGAGTTGCAAAGATATAGGGTTTAGAAAATCAGAGTTTGTGACACAGACTCAATTGTTCTTTTCTGCGCTTTCATACCACGATTTTTAACGCATATTTTCGCTGGATCACGCTAAAATTTGCCAAAAAATAATTTAACTAATTTTTTGTAACACTTAACACTTTTTATCACGAATGTTTTTTTTATCAGAAGGGTTAACAGGGTGATCTAATAACAATTGTTGCATTTATATTTTAACCCTCTGTAAACCTTACTGTTGTGGTTAAACAATAGTTTACTTCCAAACTGTCAAATTCAACATGAACCCAGAAAATGAAAATTCTAGCAATGTAATTGAAATTCTATTGTTTTAAATATATAAACAAACAAGTTGGACCGATTCAAGGCTCTAATAAAGGTATGAACATGCACTGTCAAGAAATTGATTTCATATGGTTGGTTAAATATTAGAAAGGTAGATTGTTTGGTTGGTTAAATATTAGAAAGGTAGATTGTTTGGTTGGTTAAATATTAGAAAAGTAGATGGTTTGATTGGTTAAATATTAGAAAGGTAGATTGTTTGGTTGGTTAAATATTAGAAAAGTAGATTGTTTGGTTGGTTAAATATTAGAAAGGTAGATTGTTTGGTTGGTTAAATATTAGAAAGGTAGATTGTTTGGTTGGTTAAATATTAGAAAATTAGATTGTTTGGTTGGTTAAATATTTAAACTCTATTTAAGAACTTAAAAAATAATATAACTTCCATTGATAATGTATGATATCTATTGCAAATTCGAAATATATTTTTGTACAGATTCCGCTTGAAATATATTTTGAAACAGATTCCGCCTTAAATATATTTTTGTACAGATTCCGCTTGAAATATATTTTTGTACAGACGCCTGAAATATATTTTTGTACAGATTCCGCTTGAAATATATTTTTGTACAGATTCCGCCTGAAATATATTTTTGTACAGATTCCGCATGAAATATATTTTTTTAACAGATTCCGCCTAAAGGAATTGAGTTTTTGCCACAAGCTCTGAAATATATTTTTTGTAACAGATTCTGCCTGAAATATATTTTTGTACAGATTCTGCCTGAAATATATTTTTGTACAGATTCCGCCTGAAAGATATTTTTGTAGAGATTCCGCCTGAAATATATTTTTGTTCAGATTCTACCTGAAATATATTTTTGTACAGATTCCGCCTGAAATATATATTTTTGTAACAGATTCCGCCTGAAATATATTTTTGTACAGATTCCTCCTGAAATGGAACATCATCTTGCCACGATGGATTTAGCCAAACCAAATAATCCGGAAATAAGGGTAACATTTATTTTTTCTCTATCTTTTTTATCTTTTTTATTATTTTTAGTTATCGATTATTTGTTTCATTCATCTCGATTGTGAGTTATCATTATCCTCTAATTTCTTAATGTTCAACCTAATAGTGTGGATATTTAAAACTTATCTAATCTATCAAAATGCATAGCTTGAAATTTCAGGTTGCAATATAAAGACGATCAAATAAGAATGTGACTGTTTTTCTAAAAAAATTGTACTTATATAACTCTTTCTTTTTTTACAGTTGCGTACAGTTGGGGCGAAGATCTGGTACGCGAGAATGTACAGCGGTACAGCTAACGAGTACACGTACAGACAACAAGCTAGAAATATTCTAGATATTATTGTGGTAAGTAATAGATGTGATTTGGTACCAGTACATCCGTCGGACTGTACAAACCCAGGACTTACAAACGTCGGACAGTACAGCAATAATATTTTTTTTCAAACTCAACCAAAGTCCGACGTTTTTCCTTGTAAATGTTCCCGTTCAACGTTTGTAATGATCCGACGTTTGTCTCAGTCCGACGTTTGTACCAGCCCAATGTTTGTCTCAGTCTGACTTTTGTCTCAGTCCGACGTTTGTACCAGTCCGACGTTTGTCTCAGTCCGACGTTTGTACCACCCCAACGTTTGTCTCAGTCCGACTTTTGTCTCAGTCCGACGTTTGTACCAGTCCGACGCTTGTACCAGTCCGACGTTTGGAAGTCCGACGTTTGTAGCTTCCGACGTTTGTGTGTCCGATGTCTGTACTGGTACCTTCAATTTAGAACCAACTTTTACCCATTAATGCAGAAAGTAAATTCCGTAAATAAACTAAAAGTTCTTATTTTAATAATTAAAAAATGTATGATTTAAATCATCTGATTCTCCCAAAATCAAGTTCCGGTTTAGATAATTTTCACAAATATCCCCAACCTTTGCATAAACTTTTTTTGCTGTTGAACAAATTTGATATCACATGTTACCTTAAGACCCAAGAAAGAGGCTTTTTCCGTCTATAATTTTTATTCACGAGAAGCATAATTTTTTGTGCTTTATAAAAATAAAAAAATCCCATCAAACTACAGGGTTCTATTTTTCTACTTTATAAATTCTAAATATATTTAAGTCTGATGAGCATTTCCCGAAGGGAGCATCAATCTATTTGTCTATTTTCTAAATTCTAAATCTTATTTCAGTCTGATGATAATTACCTCGAGGTTGACCTTCACAGCTATACTATTGGGATTAGTAAAGAAAACGATGAGTTTAGCTATACTGTTGGATTCCAGAAACTTGCAAAAATTAATTAAATTGTTTTAATGTTAATTTTGAAATCGGATAACTAATAAAGATGAAGCTAGCAAATGTAAAAGTAAAAGTGTTTACATAAAGCTGGTCAAATTGTGTCAATAACATCCAATTTTTACATGTTTATACATGCATATGAATTTTTGATGGTACCCTATATTTTAGCCATCCTTATTTGAGGTATTAGCGACAAATTTTAAGAGATGTAAACTCTATTTCAAAATTGTATGCGACAGAACATAGATGTTTGATTTTATCGCATTATGCAAAACTTTCAATCTGATCAAAGATATTAATCAAAACGATTTTTCAAAACGAAAAGTAAAATCGTTTTTTGGTTTCAAAAATCTTAGAAAAAATTCGTTAATGCAAAGAAAACTTATTGAGAATATAATTTTGTCATAATTTTGTGAAACAATTTGAAGTTTAAAAGTTAAAAAAAACTTTCTTTGAATATTTGGCTCGTTTCTCTCTGATAGTTTTTAAATAATTATCATTAGAAGATCCTTTACTCTGGGTAACAGCTCATTATCGAAATATTTTATCTGAAATAGATAGATAGATAAAGCCTTACCAGACACTTGCTGGGATCAATTCTCAATTACCATTTATACAAGTATAATTTTTTCTATCAAAGAGTTCCAACAAAACAAATTTTTTTGTCTTTAACTGCATTAATATTTGAATAACATCTTATTAAGATAAAGAAAAAAAAATCGTACACATTTTTTTATTATTCTGAAAATATGATGTATGAAATATGTTTAAGGACCTCTTTTATCTGAAAAATAACAATTTTTTTGATCTGGTATATTCCGGTAATAAAACTTGAAGAATAGATAATATGACCAATAAAACAGAGTAGTAAAATGTAGGGGATAAGGAATAGACTTAAAAGATTTTAATTTGTAATTTCACTGTGGTCTTGCAGCGACAAAGTAATCTTAATAGTGAAAAACATGTTTAAAATACAGATTTAGTATTTAAAAAAATGGGGTTTTAAAAAAAATTTAAAAAATTGCAAAAATTAGTTCATTTTAAAATTTGAAACAAATTTGAAAAATATCCCATCCCTATGAACCCCCATGATATAGTTGTAAAACTAGGTTTTCTAAATCACCAACATTATATACAGTATATTGTGCACAGTATAACAAACTAGTCAAAAGCATAAAATGCTTTTTCACGATCTAGAAATACCCAGTTAGAGTTGGTTTACTAGCTTTATAGTTCTTTATATCTTGCCTCCATATACATATTTACGGAGTTACCACGTTATATCTTGCCTCCATATACATATTTACGGAGTGTACAGGGTGTTTTTTTAATCTTGTCAATTTTGATTTTTATCTTTCAATAAAATAAATATTCTTACAGTTATTAATAACATATTAAGGTGTTTTTTTGTACAAAAAGAATTAGATGACTATTTCAAAGAATGTTCAAAGTGTCCGCCCTCGTTCTCTAAACAAAGAGCTGCTCGTTTCCTAAAGTTTTTAGCGGCCGGACGTCGGCTCAACCTCCGACTGAGAGGCAGACCAGTAATAATGCTCCGATCTTTTAGAAAGTTTAGTCACAGAGAGGGTTCCCTAAAAAATACAGTCAGAACAGTGTGGCGCAGCGTTAAAAACCCTGTCGCCTCCTACTCTGGGTCTAGCCCATTATGATTTTATACACTTAAATACAGTCAGAACAGTGTGGCGCAGCGTTAAAAACCCTGTCGCCTCCTCCTCTGGGTCTAGCCCATTATGATTTTATACACTTAAATACAGTCAGAACAGTGCGGCGCAGCGTTAAAAACCCTGTCGCCTCCCCCTCTGGGTCTAGCCCATTATGATTTTATACACTTAAAAGCAGTGACCAAGAGAGCACTGCGTTTTTAAAGATATAAAGCTTAAAATGTGCAAAGACAGGGCTAGTCTGTGGTGAAAAATGTCTAAATATTCTAAGGTTTAAGGTTAAAAATATGAGAACTGAAGTCTGTACTAAGTGGCCAATAGATGCGTTATTTCTTAATTTTTTTGCAGATTTTTATAAATTTAGTAACCTCCTAAAATAAGCTTTTCATATCTATTTTCAAAGTGGAAATATTACAAAAAATGAAAAAGTTATTAAAGTTAAAAAGTTAACAAGATTAAAAAACACCTTGTATGTTGTATAGCACATACATTCAGGAAGCTATGGTAAGTCAATTTTCAGAACTGGGTCGACTTTGAAGAGTCGCAACCCCTTGAATTTTTATTTTGCACCATTAACTCACTTATACTTTTGTAGTCCTATTTTAGGCCTAAAAGGCACTTGATCTAATCTTTAGGTTTGAAAAGGTAAAGGGAAAAATTCTCATCATTTTTAGCGTTAAAGCCTGCAACCTTTGGGCCTCTGTGATGTATTGAACATATAAATTTTTTTGCTTCAAATATCCCAACAAGAAAAATCAAAATACAAATTGGTCAGAGCAAAAAAAAAAGACCTTTGTCTTGCTTTACATTGCCATGGTTCTAGTTAATAAACTTAACGTCACAATTTTCTCATAGTTTTTTTTGTTCATCTAAAATAATATGACTGATGGCTCAGTAAATATTGTATTCTCTTTCATAATCTATAGTTTACATATTATATCTTAAACTTGTATCATAACAGTTAGATACTTGCATATAGTTCTACAGTTCTGCAGTTTTAAGTTCTACAGTTCTATAGTTATATAGTACTACAGTTCTATAATTCTACAGTTCTGCAGTTCTACAGTTCTATAGTACTACAGTTCTATAGTTCTACAGTTCTGCAGTTCTACAGTTCTACAGTTCTATAGTTCTACAGTTCTACAGTTCTACAGTTATATAGTTCTTCAGTTCTGCAGTTCTACAGTTCTACAGTTATATAGTTCTATAGTTCTACAGTTCTACAGTTCTACAGTTCTACAGTTCTAAAATTCAAGAGTTCTGCAGTTCTACGATTCTAAAGTTCTACAGTACTACAGTTCTACAGTTCTACACATATAGTTCTACGTTTTACAGTTCGGCAGGTCTACAGTTCTATAGTTCTGCAGTTCCACAGTTCTGAAGTTCTACAATTCTACAGTTCTACAGTTCAAAAGTTCAGCAGTTCTACAGTTCTACAGTTCAAAAGTTCAGCAGTTCTACAGTTCTACAGTTCTGCAGTTCTACGATTCTAAAGTTCTACAATAATACAGTTCTACAATTCTACAGTTTTACAGTTCTATGTTTTACAGTTCGGCAGATCTACAGTTCTACAGTTCTACAAATCTACAGTTCTACAGTTCTACAGTTCTACAGTTCTACAGTTCTACAGTTTTACAGTTCTACAGTTCTACAGTTCTACAGTTCTACAGTTCTACAATTCTACAGTTCTACAGTTCTACAGTTCTACAGTTCTAGAGAACTGCGAAATATGCATTTACACAATAATTTCCGATGAAAAAAAGTTTAAATTTAAAAGATTCTTTTATAAAAATTTAATTAATAACTTTAAAAATATGATAACTATAAAAATACTAGAAATTCAAGGCGCTTTGTGCCCTTCTTTCTAGCCTTAGAGGGCGCTTCGCGCCCATCTTCTAAATTAGTTGTGAACATGTTCTCTTCGTGTACATCGTAAAACAAAACAAAAATAATTCGCGGATTTTTACAAAAAATTTCGCGGATTTTCAAAATTTTTATACAATATATAGACGCAGCAGAATTTCCTACAGGGGAGATCGAGCTGATTTTTTTCTGAAGTGATAACTTTTGGTTGATATGGAGCGCCACAAAGTCATAATGCGATAACCTTAACGAGAGCTTTTAATTTTCAGAGGGGGTAAAGGAACGGGATGAACTAGTTCTGTCAATTTAAAAGTTCCCATCTTTGATTTCACATCTTTTCTTATATTTTTTTTTATTTTTTCATTTTTTCAATTTTCTATTAATCAGTCATCATTTATGAAAAATGTGCATTCAACTTTGCGAAATATTTAAATTTTGAAAGGGTAAAATTAAAAATATTTAAATTTGGAAAGGATTAAATTGAGAAAGGATGCAATTTACGTATCAAATTATAATTTTACAGAAATAAAGCTATGAGTTTATCGAATTTATAATTATCGAGAATATCTATATAGAGAATATAGAGACTATTGTTTTAAATTAAAATTGCAGTTTAAAATGTTAAAGTTAGTAAACAAAACCTGAGCTGAAAACTTTAGAATTGGATAACCTTAATACCGATCGCTTAATAGCCAAATATCCACTGTTGACACTTCTGATTTCTGCTTAATCTGCTCTTTCTTCCTCTATTTTAATATCACTATCGGATCCCGACCATTGAGACTTCTCTGATTTACGGGATTCTGCATACGCCTCTCTAATTGGTTGAATTTTATACATTTTCCTGGATACAATCTAATGATCAAAATTATCTAAAGATTAAAAAAAAGAGAAGATCAGACATTGATTCAAAAGTTCCCAGCTCAGGTTTGAAAAATATAATTAGATGTAAAGAGTGATTAGTTCCTTTGGGACAAAGAAAAAGGACCGATTGAAAATTAAATAAGAAAATTAACTCATGTCTAAATCCGGTTTGAATCATAAGGTTGAATTTACATAGTTTAACAGGAAAATATAAATCAGGGATACAGAAGAGAACAGGAAGGAAATGGGATTCCCTTTGTGGGGGGGGGGGGGGTATTAAAAGGGAATAATCAAGAAATTTATTGTGTCATTAATTAAACTGAATAAAGCCAACATTTCACAGATGTCGTTTTGTTGTGTAGAGAAACTTAGAGGATAAAATACATTTTAAAAAGATGGAGGCCATTTTAAGGTAAAGGGGTAATTCAAAATATATTATTATTTATTACAGTTTATAATCAAACCACAAAGATGATGAGTTCCTTATTTTGTTGATGAGATACTCTCTACTAAACCCCACACTATTTCTTAGGTCAGAGTATTGCAGAACTACCGAAAGCTTATGTGAGGGTGGATAATTAGATGAAGGTGTTTGCAGCTTTTCTAAGAACCATGTTGGGAATATCAAAATCTCTAAAAAGCTGAAAAAAC